TGGCTATTTGAATTTCTTCTTTTGAGAAAGTTCTTTTTAGTTCAGTTGCCCATTTCTTTATTGGTTCATTGATTTTACGAGAGTTTAGTTTCTTAAGTTCCCTGTGTATTCTGGTTATCAATCCTTTGTCTGATGTATAGTTGGCAAATATTTTCTCCTACTCTATGGGTGGTCTCTTCAGTTTAGAGACCATTTCTTTTGTTGTGCAGAAGTTTTTTAGTTTTATGAAGTCCCATTTGTCCATCCTTTCTCTTAGTTGCTCAGCTGCTGGGGTTCTGTTGAGGAAGTCCTTGCATATACCTATTTGTTCCAGAGTATTCCCTGCACTTTCCTGTACTAACTTCAGAGTTTCAGGTCTGAAATTAAGGTCCTTGATACATTTTGAGTTGATACTAGTATAGGGTGGTAGACAGGGATCTAGTTTCAGTTTCTTGCAGACTGGTAACCACTTTTCCCAGCAACATTTGTTAAAGAGGCTGTCTTTTCTCCATTGTATATTTTGGCACCTTTGTCAAAAATAAGGTGGGTATAGTTGTGGGATTCATATCTGGGTCCTCTGTTCTGTTCCACTGGTCTTCATGTCTGTTTTTGTGCCAGTACCATGCTGGTTTTATTGTTACTGCTTTGTAATATAGTTTGAAGTCAGGTATTGTGATACCTCCTGCATTGTTCTTTTTGCTGAGTATTGCCTTGGCTATTCGCGGTCTCTTGTGTTTCCAAATGAACTATAGGGTAGATTTTTCAATCTCTGTGACGAAAGTCATTGGGATTTTGATGGGAATTACATTAAACATGTAGATTGCTTTTGGTAGTATAGCCATTTTTACTATGTTGATTCTACCAGTCCATGAGCATGGGAGATCTTTCCATCTTCTGTAGTCTTCCTCAGTCTCTTCTTCAGGGGATTGTACTTCTCCTTGTAGAGGTCATTCACATCTTTTGTTAAATTTACTCCTAGGTATTTGATTTTTTTTTGAGGCTATTGTGAATGGAATTGTTTCCATATATTCCTTCTCATTTTGTTTGTTGTTGGTGTATAGAAAAGCTAATGATTTTTGTAAGTTGATTTTGTATCCTGCCACCTTGCTATAGCTGTTGATGGTGTTTAGGAGTTTTTTGGTAGAGTTTTTTTGGGTGTTAAATAGGGATATTTGGACAGTTTCTTCACCTATTTGTATTCCTTTTATTTCTTCTTGCCTAATTGCTCTGGCTCGAAATTCCAGTACTATGTTGAAAAGGAGTGGGGATAGTGGGCTCCCTTGTCTCATTCCTGACTTTAGGGGAAATGGTTTCAGTTTTTCACTAGTAAGTATGATGTTGGCTGTAGGTTTGTCATATATAGCCTTTACAATGTTGAGGTACATGCCTTCTATTCCTAGTTTTCTTAGAGCTTTTGTCATGAAGTGGTGTTGGATCTTGTCAAAAGCTTTTTCTGCATCTATTGAGATGATCAAGTAGTTTTTGTCTTTGCTTCTATTGATGTGCTGTATTACATTTATAGATTTGTGTATGTTGAACCACCTCTGCATCCCTGGGATGAAGCCGACTGGGTCTTGGTGTATGATCTTTCTGATGTGTTGTTGGATTTGACTTGCCATTATTTTGTTGAGAAGTTTTGCATCAGTGTTCATTGTGGACATAATTTGGAGGTGTCTTTGTCTGGTTTTGGGATGATAATAATACTGGCTTCATAAAATGAGTTAGGCAGTGTTCATTCCCTTTCTATTTCATGGAACAGTTTAAGGAGAGTTAGTATTAGTTTTTCTTTAAACATCTGATAGAATTCAGCTGAGAATCCATCAGATCCTTGACTCTTCTTCTTTGGGAGACTCTGTTGCCACTTTAATTTCATTTTGTGTTATAGATCTATTCAGGTGATTAATATCCTCCTGGTTCAGTTTTGGATGGTCGTAAGTATCTAGAAATCTGTCCATTTCTTCAAGATTTTAAAATTTATTACAGTATAGTTTCTTAAAGTAGTCTCTGATGATTTCCATGGTGTTTGTTGTTATCTACCCTTTTCTGATTTTACTGATTTGGGTTTTTTCTCTTCTCATTTTAGTCAGGTTTGACAGGGGTTTGTTGATCTTATTTATTTTTTCAAAGAACTAGTTTTTTGTTTCATTGATTCTTTGTATAGTTTTTTTGTTTGTTTGTTTCTATTTCATTGATTTTAGCCCTCATTTTTATTATTTCTCTCCTGCTGCTGCTTTTGGGATTTGCTTGTTCTTGTTTTTCTAGGATTTGAGATGTAGCATTAGGTCATTGGTTGGAGATCTTTCTGAACTTTTAATATATGCACTCATGGCTATAAACTTTGCTGTTAGGACTTTCTTTTCTTTGTCTCATAGGTTCCAGTAGATCATATTTTCGTTTTCATTAACTTCCAGGAACCTTTTAATTTCCTCTTTTGTTTCATCAGTGACCCTTGATCATTGAGCAATGTGTTGTTCAGCTTCCAGTTGTTTCCATGTTTTTTACTGTTGTTTTTGTTGTTGATTTATAGTTTTAATGCATTGTGATCAGATAGAATGCATGGGATTATTTCTATTTTCTTATATTTTGAGGATTGCTTTGCACCGTAAAATATGATCAGTTTTGGAGAAAGTTCCATGGTCTGCTGAGAAGAATGTGTATTGTGCAGAAGTTGGATTAAATATTCTGAAAACATCAGGTAGGTTCATTTGATCTATTGTATGATGAAGTTCTAGAATTTCTTTATTGATTTTTTGTTTGGATGACCTATCTATTGTGATGGGGGGGCATTAAAGTCTCCCACTACCACTGTGTTGGAGTATATATGTGTTTTTAGTACCTTCAGAGTATGTTTGATAAAATTAGGTGCTTTGACGTTGGGTGCATATTGGTTGATAATTGTTATTTCCTTTTGGTGTATTTCCCCTTTTATTTGTATGGAATATCCTTTTTTATCTTGTTTGATTGCTGTAAGTTTGAAGTCTACTTTGTCTGAGATAAGTATTGTTACCCCTGCCTGTTTTCAGGTGCCATTGGCTTGGTAAATCTTCTTCCATCTTTTCTGTAGGCAGCAGATTGTTGGATCTTCCTTTTTAATCCCATTTGCCAATCGGTGTCTTTTGATGGGGGAATTTAGTCCATTAACATTCAGCGTTAATATTGATAGGTATTTGTTGATTCCTGTTATTTAGTTGTCTTTGTTTTTTAAGAGTTTAGTTGTGTGCAGCCGAATCAATGTTACTCTCTACTTTCTTGCCTTTTCTTCTCCTGTGGGTTGGTACTGCCTGCCCTTTCATAGTTTGTTTGCTTTCACTTTCCGTGTGTAGAATTCCTTGAAGAATCTTTTGTAGTGGTGGCTTGGTGGTCATATATTGTTTTAGTTTCTGCTTATCAAGGAAGACTTTTATTGCTCCCTCTATTTTGAATGATAGTTTTGCTGGGTAGAGGTCTTCAGTGCCCAGAAGACCTCACTCCATCTCATCTTGCTTTTAAGGTTTACGTTGAGAAATCTGTGATTTTGATGGGTTTACCTTTGTACATTATTGTTTTTTTCTCTCTTACAGCCTTCAATATTCTTTCTCTAGTCTGTGTGCTTGTTGTTTTAATAATACGATGTCATGTGGTAGTTCTATTTTGTTCAGGTCTGTTTGGTGTCCTGGAGGCTTCCTGTACCTGAATGGGCACAGTTTTTTCTAGATTTGAGAAATTTTCTGTTACTATTTTGTTTAATATTATGAATTACTTTTGCTTGCACCTCTTCTCCTTCTCCAATGCCCATGATTCCCAGGTTTGATCTTTTGATGGAGTTGGTGAGTTCTTGCATATTCCTTTCACAGGTCTTGAGTTGTCTGACTAATAGGTCTTCAGTATTTCCTTGAATTTCTATTTCATCTTCAAATTCTGAGATTCTGTCTTCTGTTTGTTCTAGTCTGCTGAAGTGGCCTTCCATTTAGTTTTGTATTTCTGTTTTATTCCTTTTTCTGAGATTTTCCATTTCATGGGTCCCTTCCTCTTTAATATTGTCCATAATTCATTTATCTCTCTATTTATGGTATTTTCAGTTTCAGTTTGGTGTTTATGTAGGGCTCCTATGAGTTCATTTATTTGTTTTTCTGTTTTCTCATGTTCTTTATTTTTGTTGTCTGGAATTTCTTGAGTGCCTCTTGTACGTTTTGATTCACCATGTCTAGTAACATCTGTATGAAATTCTCATTGATTACTTGCAGGATTTCTTCTTTCAGCATGTTCTTGTGGGCTTTGTTGGGTTCCTTGGTATAGTTTATCTTTGTTTTGTTGGAGTCAGGATATGGGTATCCGTTTTCTTCATTTCCCTCTGAATCATGTACTACTTCATTTTTTGGGGCAAGAATAGTTTCCATACCTTTTTTGTCTTTCCATCATTCCACTTGGTACTGTTTCTGTCCATGGTCTATGTGTAGTTTAGTGTTTGCTAACTTACAGTAGTAAAAGTAAGAAAACCAAGAAAGAAAGAGAAAAAAGAAAAAGAAACTAAAAAAGGGAAAGAAAAGGAGTACCAAAGAAATCAACAGGGAGAAATGGTGGACAATCAAACAAAGACAAACAAATACTTTTAAAAAAGAAAAGAAAAATTCCTGATTCAGGAAAAGTAGAATCTCAGTCTTAGTAGTTCTGGTATTACTCTTTTAGCATCCAGTCCTGTTTGTCTGTGTCTCATAGGCAGGCTTGGAGCTGGCATCTGGTGGTGCTGGAGCCCCGCTCCTGTTTTCTCAGTATAATGTGGTGGGGAGAAGCTTTTTATGGGCTGGTGGCTCAGGGTTTCGGAGTTTTGTTTCTTCTTTTTTTTTTTTTTTTTTGCTGCAGGATAATATTCCATTTGGTCTGCTGAAGGTCTCAGAAGCACGTTTGGAGTTAGTAGCCAGCAGGTGGTTTGTGGCTTGGCGGGCTGGCAGGCAGCAGCATGGTGGGCCTGCTGGGTTTCGTGTGGGCAGTGGCCTGGTGTGCCAGTGGGCCGGCGGGCTGGCTGCAGTGGCATGGGGTGGCAGTCTGCCTGTTCTTTCAGTGTATCGTGGCATGGAGAATCCTTCCATGGGCTAGGGGTTCAGGGTGCTGAGGTTTTAGCTCACCCTAGTGCTTTACCTCAACTGAACATGTCTCCGGCATCTCAGCAAGGTCCTTGATTCATGGAGTTCACGCCATCTGTGTCTGTGTCCCAGTCCTCATTTTGGATCCTCTAATCTAAGTCTTAATGTGTGTACAGGGAGTCCATCTTCTGCATCCAGTACAACATCCGCTCTTTCATGAATGTCAAGCACTGGCCTTGGATGAACCTGTTTTTCAGGATCAAGCCCTTGCTAAAGAGTGCAGAGGCTGAGAAGGAGATGGCCACCATGAAGGAAGACTTTGAGAAGACCAAGGAAGAATTGGCTAGATCTGAGGCTTGCCGAGAGGAACTGGAGGAGAAAATGGTCTCTTTCCTACAGGAAAAGAGTGACCTTCAGTTACAGGTTCAGTCTCTAAGTACTTTCTATCTGAGGATGCAATATCAGATCCATCCAGTAGTTTTAACTAATGATAGTTCTGGAAAGTATCAGAGTTTCAGTAAGTATCAACTGCTGTAGCTGAATCTGTCAGTACATCGGACCCACTTGAAATACAAGCATCTCAGATCTTTTGTAGAACAAAGTTACAATAAATAGCTGAGTAGATCAAATTTTAAAACTTGTAATAAAAAATCTAAGGCATCTTTCCATAAGAAACATGACAGTAAAAAGCATGGGGTATCACTAATATACTTGAACAAGGTACATACGTTTTTTGAGCTTTAGCTCAGTCTGTTTTGTTTTGTCTTGCAAACTGAACAAAACAAGCAAAATGTCATGGATTAGTAGATAATATTGTAGAAATGTCTGGTTGAATTGATAAATCGTAACCGTGATAAAAACCTGTTATATTCAAAACTGGCTACAAATGGGGGGGCAAAAAAACCAAGTGGCAAAAAAGACAAGCAAAAAATTTTCTTCCTGATTCATGTTTAGAGAGATGGATGATGAATGAGTAGAAACATTTTTTATACTGATACGGAGATTATTTTTGCAGATTTTCATAATAGTTGCAGTTAGCTGGTGAGACTATTTTTACTCTTATTTCTAAATTTTTACTTGAAATATAAAAATTGGCTTAAGATGTTAAATATTTTCAATAAAGTATGAAGAGCAACAAATAATGCACACAACCACTCAAGAGAACCCTGGGCAGTTGTCATCATGGTGTACCAGGATACTTTGTGTGTGTTTGTGGTACTGGGGATTGAAACCAGGGCCTCCAGCTTGCTCTAGCTCTTGAGACATGCCCCCAGCCCTTTTGTGTTGGTCAGGCCATTGCAATTTTGGATTTTCTGTTACTCATTGCTGAACCTAAATCAAAGTGATATAAACAATCCAATTCATAGAGAAATTACCTCCTTTTGAAAATATACCATAATGTGCTCTAAGACATTAGAGCACAATTTGACTAATTGTGACATCTCTATTTAATGAAATAATTAAAATCTGAATAACGACTCCATGGTAAAATAATAATGATAACAATAGTAATTATAATAATAATAATACATGCTCACTTCAGTTTCTCCTGCTGAGGACATTAGTACCTTCAACATCATGTTCAATATGATTTCCTCAAAAGAATAGCGTGTCTTAACAAGTAGAAATAAACTATTGAAAGCAAATGGCTAGCAATTTAATTTTTGAGATAGGGTCTTGCTAACTTTGGGCTTGCCTCGAATTTGTTATCTTTCTGCCTGTGTTGCCCAGGGTAGCTGGGATTACAGGTGTGCTCTACCACACCTGGCTCTACTAGAAGAGCTTAGAAATTCCTGGAAAATTGGACAGACTGAACTTGGACAAAAGAACAGAGCCAAGTTGCTTTCAGGTTCAAAAACAAGTTCTTAGCAAAATTCATGCCATAATAAGAACCTGTTGTTAGTTTCTGAGTGTTTCATAACAGTGCTTCAAAGACCTGGAGAGTATCTGATTCTCCAAGACTAAATCACAGGCTCCACACCCCTGCTACTTTCTTACCCCAAAACCTTGAGTTCCGTGAAGAGAAGGCAGACACTTGCTCTCAGAATTACTTGGGGAGGGGGTGGTCTCCAAGAAGGAGGTTAGAATGCAAATCGGACAGCCAAACCACAGATTGTCCCCATGCTTATTGGACTTCCATCATGTCACTGACAACACAGGTTCTTTGTGAACTTTTTGAAAAGGAAATTGAAAAAATCAAGTCTCATTGAAAGTTTTTGATTCAGCTGTAGATATTGTTATAAATTAAACACATAGTAATGTCTTAGCTTAGAAGTATCACTTACCTTTTAATTTCTACTTCTATCCCAGTATTTATCAGAGAAACAAAAATTGGGTAGAAGTAGGTCTTCAAAAAGAATATGATGGCTGTGCATGGTGATGCTGTCCTGTAATCCCAGTTTTATAGGATGATCACAGTCCCAGGCCAGTTCCGGGGATAAAATAAGACCCTATCTAAAAAACAACTTAGAGCAAAAAGGACTGGGGCCAAGGATCAAGTGTTAAAGTACTTGCCTGACAAGTGCAAGACCCTGAGTTCAAACACTAGTACCATCAGGGAAAAAAAAAAAAAGGATTGTTTATATGATTGATAATATTAAAGGAGATATGCTAAGGAAAAGAAATGAGAAATTGTGACTAATTAACAGAAATAAAAAGAGGTCAACAGAGGAAAAAAACCATAAAACAAACAGAGAGAAAAGAAAAGAGAAGAGACTATAGAGAAAAAGAAAGGGAGAAAGTAGTGTGAAACATGGGCACAAGTCTTTTCTTCACTGGTTTGGCTGATATAGATCCTTCATCGTACTTCCTTTCCCTTCTTTTCACCATTTTTGGATCAGTCCCAGTGAGTTCTCCATACCCAGAAACAAGCACTAATCTAGGCCCCTTAAAGGGATGGAGGGTTCATTCAGATCCCAGAGGAGACCCAGTCCTACCAAGTATGACTTCCCTTTTGTAATCAAATTGGGAGCTCCAGAAGCCTGTAGTACTGGTGGTAGCAGCAAGGAGTAGGCTTGGGCAGAAGCCTGGTGGACGGAGGTGACAACAATGACCAGGGACCTGTCTCCCCCTTTTCTTCTTCAGTATGCAAAGCTTGTCCAAAAGAAAAGGGAACAACTAGCAGAGCCCAGTTGATTTTTATAGTACTGGGTATTGAACTCAGTGCCTCAACCTTGCACTTGCAAGGTCAGTGTTCTACCACTTGAGCCTGCCCCCAGTTCAAGCCCAGTTGTATCAACCAGAGGTCACTCAGCACGAAGGCCTGTCTGTGGCCTTCCAGAAAGTTGTTCAAAGCACATCTATTGAAAAGTACTCAGTGACCATCTAGCACATTTTCCCTCACACTCAGCTCAAACAGAATCTTAGGCTTAGATGTTTCATTTCAAATTTTTCTTTGATGAACTTAAGCAAAAGGAGCTGCTCCGATAGTTTGCAGCGACATAATCACTTGTTATTAAAATCCCCAAAAGTCCATATACCACCTAAATTATAGCCTACTTCAAAAATGAATAGCTGAATTAGAAATAAGCAAGGTCTAAGAGTAGTATGCTCCTAGATATTTGCATCCAGCTCTAAGATTTTGGTAAAGTTAAAAAGCAGGAAGAGGTAGATAGAAAAAAATAGATTGTGATAAAAATCTTCATATTCCATATTGTTCAAAAAATTATTTCCCCTTTAGGAGTCCTCTGTTAATTTCCTTCCCCTATTAAACTGTCTCAACTGTGGTCAAGTTTTGTTCTAGTTTGTAAATTAAAACTTTTTTTCATCAGAAATAATAGTCATGCATGGAAACTTTTCAAAGCGTTTTTATTAGCATATATTAATTGTATAAGGGGGATTCATTGCGTCCCCCCTATTTAAAATGATTGCAACAGGTTTCATTATTCTATTTCATATATGTATATAAAGTACATCAACCTTATTCTCCTTCCTCTATCCCCTCCATTCACCCTCCCCCTCCAACAAGTACTCACCCCCTCAGAGGACCTGTTTTACACTCATGACCTGTATTTTTTTAAGTCTGTATTAATTTTTTTTATAATTGGTACTTTATTATGGAAAATTTCAAATATATAAAAAAGTAGTGTTATGGTTTATTTATTTATTTTTATTGTTTTATTATTCATTTGTGCATACAAGGCTTGGGTCAGTTCTCCTCCCTGCCCCCACCCCCTCCTTTACCACCCACTCCGCCCCCTGCCTCTCCCCCCACCCCCTCAATACCCAGCAGAAACTATTTTGCCCTTATCTCTAATTTTGTTGAAGAGAGAGTGGAAGCAATAATAGGAAGGAACAAGTGTTTCTGTTGGTTGTTATTAATTGTTCAAAGAATTTGACAATGGTATTTCAGCTGTGACTATACTGTATTTTAGTCAACTTAATCCACTTTATTTCTCTCCTAACTCTCTCCTACTCCCTATTATTCAATAGCTTTCAATAGGTTTCGTTATACCATCTTCCTACACAGATGCAATGTATTTCAATATAGTTGAATATCTTTATCATTTATCTAAACTTTCGAATGCCTGTATCAGGACTAAGACTTAAGGAATAATAAAGATAGATTAATTTAGACTTCATTGTATAGCATGTAGGTTTTTTATTTTTGAAAAAGAATAACACAAAGGTAAAGAGTTCCATGTTTGGATAAATTTTTGGTGAAAATTCGCTATTTATTAGAAATAACAAAAAATAGTGTTGACTTTTGTCTTCTTTTGTTGAAGTCTGGGAATTGAAACAGAGCCTTGCACATACTAGGCAAGCACTCTACCACTGAGCTACATCCCCAGCCCTAGAAATAACAAAACAAGAAAGGAGATTTGTAGACTTTTCAAATTCTACCTAAAAATTAATAATTGATTTGGGAATAAATACTGATAATTGGATATAGTAGGCATATAATGTTTGAGAGAAGGCAATGGTTCTTTTTTTTGTTTTGTTTTTGAGACAGGGTCTCACTTGTAGCTGAGGCTGGCCTTGAATGCAGTGTTCTTCCTCAGCCTCCGTCCTGGGTGATATGTTACAGGTGCACCCTGCTGAAAACAATGGCTTCTAAGGAAATCACAGTAAGAGCTTGGTGATAGTGAGATGGGTTGGTGAAAATTGAGAAGAGAAATCAAAAACGTTTTAATTTTCAGAGAGATCATGCTTTCTGCATGGAGGCAAGAGCTTTAAAGGAGGAATACTTGGGGAAAGTAAGCTTGGATGAATTTCTAGAAAAAGGAAACTGGAGTTAGAAAAATTTGAAAAAAAATCTGGTCTGAGAAAGGGTTGGGGTTACTTGGCAATCAAGAATGCATTTTTATTTGTACAGAAGGGTCATACTGAGGGCTCAGATGAAAAGGAATATCCTTCATTAATACTCAAGGAATGTAAGAAAAATAAATGTAGCAGCTATTTTCACTCTTCTCATTAGCAGACAG